CTCTTGCAAATATCTACGAGACTTTCAATACAGTCTCAACATGAAGTAAGAAAATAGAAAGTAAAACCATGCTAAGGGGTCACCAAGCTTGGACAGATCTTGAGTGATGTAGCATTAGTAAACTTCAAAAACTAATTTCTGGTTGAAAAGAAATACTAGCTAAAGTTACATAGGGATTGGGGTTAGTATAATCAGACAGTATTAATTTTGGGGTTGACTGTCCATTAAGGACTTCATTTTCATTCCAAAATTGAAAATGAGACATTAGCAACACGACTTACGGAGAATTAGACAGAATAATGACACTTGATAAAGCTTCTCTAGGGATAGAAAATCACTAAGAGACACCCAAAACTAGAGCATGACAAGTAAGAAGAAATGGGTTTGACAGTGTCTCCAGGGTACGGTTGAAAATATATATATATATAGCGGGGGAGTAAAGCCAATACCTGTTTAGATGCACGGAACTCCTCTAGCTTGTCACTTACAGACACTTCAGTCAGTTTCACCGATTTTCTGTCATTGCCATTAAACAGCAACATGTTGGCATACAATAGTTTAAACAAGAAAGAGACAACCTTCAAGTCTAAAGACACAATTTCCAAACTCATTGAACACCTCCATGTAGTGCTTTATTCGTCAAATTAGATATTCTAGTTTGAAGTCATTAAAAGAGAGAAAAAAATATGTATATTTTCTCTATTTTTCCACTCTATTTGTAAAATAAATGACACGTGGCCTCCAGGCACCCTCTTAGAGAACGTAGAATAAGGAACATTTAGAAGTGCTTAGTTTAGGAAAGAACTTATGAATGTTTCACTTCAAGACAGAGGGAATGCACAAGAAGAACAAATTAAACCTCCCAATCACAATGCACTATCTTTCCATTCTATCCAATATTTTACAGCAACAGTGCATTGTCAAGTGAGTATTTCTAGGAAAAAAAAACAACTGGACAATTTTAAACAACTTCAATAAAGAGACAACAGTCAGAATTCATAGCTACTCAGCAAAAGTCCGAGCTGGAAATCCTAGCTTTTGGAATGGTCCAGGTCTAGAAGGCAGGAGACTAGTTATTCATGAATAAATCAATCTTAAAAATTTGATAATTTGGGAAAAATAATTAGCTGTGCACCATATCCAGAGCTCTGACGCTATTAATGGCCTAATTTCAGACTAGACAAAAATGTTTGGCATAAACTTAACACTTGAAATTATTGGTATGTAATCTGCACAAGTAATTGCACTATAAGAAACTTACGGTTGGTCATTCTTCTTGAAACTTTCACCCTCAATAAAATATCCAGAAGCCCCATAAAATTCCTGCATCTGGGGAAACAGCAAAATACTGCATCAAATACTATTCCCAGAAATGAAAACGCAACAAAAACCGTGATGATAATTCTTGCATGTACAAGTCTCCCACTTGCATATATAATTGTAGAATTTTCAAGATAACCTATTGTGTAAATGGCATTGAGTAAAACAAAGACAGGACGCTTTTGCAACAAAAGAAAAAATAATTTAGTAATGCGCATAGCTCTTGCAAGTCAAGGAGACAGGGAGGATAATGCATATGAGAAATACTAAAAAGACAATGATATTTTGCCCACAACTCCAGAAAATAATTGATAGAAGTAAGAATATCTAAAAAGAAAAGGATATATTCTTCGGGGGTTTATTCTAGAAAGTTTTGCAGCCTGGCGGTTAGCAAACAAAAATTCCTTTTCTATGACATAACTCACATCACAAGAGGTTGAAATTTTTCATTCTATTTCATGCAGAGTGGCAAGAAATTTTTAAATTAAATATCAAATAAGATTATTTGAACTGATTTATTACATCTTTAATTAGATTTTTGCATTTTCATTTTATTCTTTGCATGACTTTTACATATTTATGAGCTTTATGTTCATAGACTCTTAGATACTTTTACATATTTATGGGCTTTATGCTCATAGACTCTTAGAGGCTTAGACTCCAAGGTAAAAGTTTTGATGTGGATTTGAAGTTGCTTCTGCAGTCAGAATACATCTTATTTAGGCTATGTAATCATGTCATAATATTATGTTGCTTATAGAATATTCTTTTTTAGGTGCGTGTTATTAATGATGTTACTTAGCCACCAGTAGCAAATTTTTGAACTTGTAATCTGTTAAAGTAGGAATTTGATCTTGACACTGTTCCCAATTTTGGAATTATGCCTTTTGCTTTAGAGACTAAGAGAACAAATGAACCATTACACTGATGTTATTGTTAACCTTGATTTTGATTCCATAAGATCAAGAACAATTTATTATATCCAAATTTCTTGCACATTTAAATATACCTGCTTGTCCAGCCAAATAAGATACTGCACAACAGCTGCACCATCCCGAATGTGTGCATTCTTCAATCCTTCTATCTCAACAGGATTCTGAAATAATATGCCAGCCACTCAATAAGAACAAAGTTACTGTAAAAGAATTCTAGCAAACCTTGTAATAATACATTGAATACTTTATAAGATGGTTTCTCTGTTCTAACCCTCTATTTCAGTCACATATGGACATCAATTACAATAACAAGAAATAATTGCAGATAGGCCAGCCTGTGACACATATGCACGTAGGAAAAAATAACAAGAATTAGTGATGGCTCCAAAAAGAAAATAACTGAAACTTCCTAATGGACTATGAAGAAAGAAAAAATTACTAATGTCTGTGGGCATTTTGCATGTTTCCTGTCGAAAATTAACTATTTACTGCTGAGACGTCTTTCATACCCTGGTTGTAATGTGAGAGCCAAGGTTTCTTAACCAAAGTTCTATAAGCAAATTACTTTTCCAGCTGCAATGCCATCATTGCCATGAAAGCAAACAATATCCGTTCCCTCATTTTCTTGACATGCTATTATCTTCTATTCTTTCATAAATTCCTTTAGAGAAAGGAGAAAAGGTCAATTGTGATCCACCACAAAATGCGATGTAAACGCATCCTGATGCTCCACATTTTCCTTTTCATGTTAAGAAAATTTAATCTTATAATAGGAGGGTGGAAGCAGAGTTATGTCCATATTTTCAAAGAAGACTTTATAAATGTATGGACATGTTTTTCTTCAGAACAAACAACTAGATATTTCGGGTGCCTAAAATAATATCAGGAAAACAACGTGACGAATAAGCTTATAAAATAATGTAATTAACTTCAAGAATTTGAAAAGCACTAATAAAAGAAGTATAAAAGTGTTATTATTTTGCATCTCTTGGTTATCTTGGATATCTATATCTTTTTTTAAGTAAATCAAATGCACGTGCACCAAAAAAATAAATAAATAAATAAATGTATAAAGAGTTGCAAATTTATTTTCTATTATTATTTTTTTTTTTTGAAAATGATGATACTTTTACTTAGAGAATACATAGATCAATTGCAATTCTTAAAAAGAAGTGAATATGTTGTTGGGATATGTCATGTTGCAAGTTATTAGAAGTGCCGAATGACAAAAATATTTCTAACAGTATTCTCTCAGCATGCTATTGGAAGATGTGTCAGGTATGTTATGTCGATGTGACTTTTATTAGGTAAGTAATACACAGTAAGAGCAACTTGAATCCAGCTTCAATTATTATATTTACACATGCATTTACAAGGAATTTTCACATATTAAGTTCTCGAAATAATATTCCCAATAAACTATGTCAATTGATTAATGACACTACGTTCAGCCCTGGTTCAGTCACCCAACTACTTGCAAAAGAAACAGAAAAAGAAAATGGGTGAGAGGTGTTTTAAGATAGAATGCACTACCTTTAGGGCTTTGGCAAGGCCTAAAGGCGATGGATGCATGAGAACCTTATCCACATTCAATTTTGAATACAAAGCAAAGCAGCATGTACCATCAACCCATAC